ATAAGTGCAATCCTGCTTAAAAGACCAGATTTCGTACGCTCTGTCTCTCTCTCTCTCTCTCTCTCTCTCTCTCTCTCTCACATCATTGCCATTCTGTTTTTCAGGAGGAGGATTACGGCAGCTACAAGTGCGTGGCGAAAAACCCACGTGGGGAGACCGACGGCACCATTCGCCTGTACAGTAAGTGTCGTTTGTTTACCCGCATTTTAAAATATCCCGCCGAAACGTTTGTCAAACTAATGACGAATCGTGGATTCCTGGTGGAACGCAGACATGTCAGAATTTCGTGTTGGATGTTCTCCTCTTCCGCCATCACGCTGTGGTGCTTGATTAAATGTTATTTCTCTTCTTTCTTTATTTCCTCGTTTCTACTTTTTTTTCCTTTTTTTTTTTTTTTTTTTTTTAATTCTCTTCCTTTCGCAATTAAAGCGTGCTCGTCGACAGACGGCTCTCGGTTTTGTTCTGTTTTTGCGTGCGCGGGCGATATTTTGGAAATGCTTTGAAAATTGCTCGTTACATTCTTGAGATTGATTCGTAAATTTGATCGAGCTCGTGAGACTTTACGACGATAAATAACTAACGTGTTATTATATTTCAATTTCGTATTTCGAAAAATTATCGCAAATATGTAAAATTTGTATAACGTAACGAGATTAAAAATCGAACCATTAATCAAATTGCACGAAGATTTAATTATTTATCGTTATATATACCTATTAACAATTGTAACGTGGAACGGGAATCGATAAGGGTTAGACACCGAGACACATGTCTGGGAAGGTGTTTACGAAGTAGATGGAGTCGAAATACGCTATTTGCCCGAGAAACCCGTGCAATCGGTCGGAGAACGTTCCTCGGTCGCGTTCGATTTCGGCTCAGATTCTACTAATTCGGGTTTCCTCGGCAAATATATGCGCGCAATTAATTAACCAGGGTGGAAGCCTCGGGGATCGCTTTTGCGGCGATCTATTAATCCGTGATTAAATCGTTCGCGAAATCGTGCGGAAATGCCGCTATGCCTGACTATCATTCCGTAACGCCATTGGATTTGAGACATTCGAATAATTACAAACTGGTTTCCACGATCGTCACACTTTCCTCGAGAGCCCCGTTTATTGGAAAATTTTCTTCTGGGGAGAACGTCTTGTTATTTCTCAAATAAATAAATTGGAGGAATATTAGATTGTACGAACGAGCGGCACGTACGGTTGGAAATTATGTGCGCTCGTTGATTGGATCTTTCCTTTAAAGTTTAATGTCTGATTGTTTTTGCATATTGAATCATGGAGGATTAACTTTTTTTTTAAATACAAATATAAGGATTAATTTCAATGATACAATTATATTAAACCTTTCCGATTTTCTTTTCAATCTCTTCTTCGTTATTTCATCACTTACAGTACAGTAAAAATTCCCTTCCATCTAATCTCTCCTGAGACAAATTCTTTCCCTCCACTTAATTTTACCACCTGCAATGAAACCATATATAAATCGATCACATACACCTTTCAATTCTTTTCTCGCTGGACCACCAAGACCCAGCGCACAATTTCCACCCCCTTCTATTTACCTTGTCCACCTTGGCTGAAATCGCTCACCCTATTCGCCGGAAATCGTCCAAATACCATATCCCCAATTTCACCCCCTCAGCTTCTTCCACGTACATCCCGTTTAATGTATGCATATGACATAAAGAGACGGCGGAGAAATGGCTGGCCGCTGTGCAAACGCGCGTGCACGTACGCGTGGGGAGAGGGTGATTTCGGTGTGTCCAGAGCGCGGCCATCCCCGACTGGGTTGGCAGAGGGTGAGAAAGAGCGAGGAGACCACCGGCTCTCCATTAGTATGCATCGGTTTTTCGCATTAGCGACATTCAAATGAAGCGGGCGTTTAGCATAAAAGGCCACCGGCAAGAAAAAGGCTGCCTGCCAGTTATCCCCCTTGTAGGTGATTACCTCTGTAAAACGGTCATGATTCGTGGAAATTTCGTGGCCACACTGGTGGAACTCTACCTTGTGCGCCAATCATTTGTATGTCAAACAAGCGAGGAATGATTTTTATAGTTTGAAAAATATATTTGTGGTGAGGAAGGGGATGATCAGTTTTCGTGGAAATGAAAATTATTATTATTGTTTCAAAGGCGTTGGGCGAAGGATAAATTTCTTGATTTTCTTCCTCATTTTTTGAACTACTAATATCCGGAAATGTTGTAAAAATTATATATTTGGTTTTAACATTTCTATAATTAGATAACACATTGAAAATGTTATAGCTATCCGAATAAAAGATATTCCGATTTAATACGATCGTGATCTACATGAATAAAAGTAACATGTCTCTAATTGAGATTGAATACCATCAGGATTTAATCTCGCCAATTAATTCCGATGGAAGAATTTTATTCGTAAAGAGGAATGTACTGATCGATCAGATTTTACATTTCGTTCGTTAATAATGTGAAAATATTTGAGATGAAATACAAAAAAATTCATCGTTTTCTAGTCGAATATAATTTTATAATCTTTTTCAAATAACTCTTTAAAATATTTCCCTGATTTCTACGTTTCACAAACTGAACATCATATTATTATCATATTCAAAAATGAAATTCTATTCTCTCGTAAAAATTATTTCTTTTCACTTCTTAAAATATATTTCTCTCTGTCTTTTATCGTATCAACAGAAGCATCGCGTACGTATTTTTCAATTTTTTCAATATCCACGTACAAAACAATTAAGCAATTAACAATTAAGCATTACACCGATCAATCGAAATACCAATCTCTTCAGTTTCTCACCGCAAACAAGACGAGTTCGTCTTTTCCACTCGAGTGAAGGGCTAATAATGGTCGCGACCTAATTAATGCACCAGCCGGAAATCTACTACAATACGCAAAGGTCAATAGGAAACTGATCAATATATCGGAAACAACAATAGCTCTTACATCGAGCTGTGGTTGTTTGAATGCGAACAACAGCAACATTAAGCATCGTTTGACCGTGGAAAGGCACCAATCTTTGATCATAGATCCCGATGTTACCAACATTCGATACAATTTCCAACCGGTCGATCGGCCATTGGGTCTGCTCTAGAGCGGTAATTTTGAATTATTATGTGATATAAGGGACAGTGAAATTAACCAGCCGCTGAAAGCTCCGTCGAATAATCGAATTCGATGCTGTGTTTCGAGAATCATCGGTAATTTCGAATGGCAAAGCCATATAATAACTTTTATCATCGTTGATTATTATTAGTTATGGAACGTTTGAGTTTAACTGATTGAACCTTATGGAGCGGCCATTAGCGATCCCTGGTAAGCATAATCTATGGTAGTAATCGAGGAGTTTGATGACGTCCATATATATATTTTGTAACATACGGTTATTAATCATTGCACTGCGTTTGATTTACTAGTTTTATCAATAGTAAAATTCGAATAGATAGAATTGGAATTAAAAATTATTGGGATCCAAATACGAACATCGTACAAATTGTAGAATAGAGATATTATAAAATTAGCTGAAAATTTACGTTGAATTTAAATTTTAAAATTACGATTAGCAAATGAAAACAACCGATAAGGAAGATTATAAGGAATAATGGAAATTGAAGTAAATAAATGTTAAATATTCTAAAGAAGATTTTCACGCATAAGTTTCACGATAAGTTGCAGTTCGATACTTCGAAACGAGGCTGGAGAAACGAAATCTTAATTTTGTCCGTGAGTTTCGAGTGTGAACGCATACGTAAAAATATCTCGTGTCGGGGAAAAAAGGAGAGAGGGGCAAAAGAAAAAGGAGAAAAAGAAATGGAATGAGAGAGGAAATAAAACGGGGGTAAATATACCCGGTATATACCAGAGGGAAATTCTCATCGTGTTCCGTGGAAATTGCTTTCTAATTGGCGAGATTTTTAAATGTACACACAATAGCTCAGAGAGTTTTTACCCCTCCCGGACACGAATATTACTTACTAATTGGTCGCTTTCGTGAAACAAAGGGATATAAAGGTATTATTCCTTGGGGTTTGCAAACATCGAGCCGAACTTGGCCACAATTATTCAGACTTAGTTGTCTAAATTCTTTCCTCGATTTTTCTACCGTGTTTTCGTTCGGTTCCATCACAACACTAACAATTCACAGATTGTAATAAAGTTTAATTTAAAGCGTGTTATTGCTTTCCTTTATTGCTTCGTTCTCTCTTTTTTTTTTCCAACGGTCTTATCTTTTCGGTGGAATCCGGGAAACGGAGAATATTTAATGTTTGTTTTACGAATAATTCGATATGATTTTTTTTTAGATTTAATACGAGGGAAACGTGATACGAGGAAATTCTAACAGATATTTTTTCAGACTCATCTCGTACAATTATATATTATTTAATGAAAAAATTACGGAATATTTAATACACATAATCCCGTTATCGTTAAAGCAAATTTTTATTCATTAAAATTATTAATTTATATCGAGACGATCTTTTCGTTACGTAAAATATTTGCACGGAAAATTTTTATTCGGTTACAAAGATTAATTAATTGAAATTCAAAGAAATGATCGAACGAATAATAGAATATTTTTTAATCGTAAAAAATATAAAAAACGATTGTATCATATACGAAGCAAGAAAGTAAAGAACAATAGAAGAAACATTTTCCTTTCGTTCTTTAGTCGACTGATACCGACTGATCTTCTTCCTCTTCCTATCTCCTCCTTCACGGGAGAGAAAATCGATCTTCCTCCTCGAAACATCGGCTACAAAGGGATACCAAGACTCGAAAGGAATTCGAATTCATTCCCGGTCCGCGTGGTACAGTAAAATAACCTCGACGTGGTCTAGAAAGGTCCAAAAAGTGATGCTCGTTCCTCCGTGAACGAGGACAGTCGCGTAACAACCAGGATGGACATGTACAAACACCGACACGTACGATACGTAAATACGCAAAGAAAGGAATCGTAAGATGGAAAGAAGATGGAAGGAACGGAAGAAGAATCGATGAGGAGAGCAAAAAGATGAATAAAATGAAACAAAACGAGAGAAGGGGAGGGGAGGAAAGGAGAAAGATGGAGAGAGGGAGGCGAAATTAAGTGGTAGAAGTCAGAGATATGTCAGGCGAGTTTTATTAAGCGGCATAAAAAAGGATTTGTAATCCGACCGAGAGAGAGAGAGAGAGAGAGAGAGA